CACGCGCTTGAGGAGCACTATCTTAAAAAAGTTCTAAGAGGAGCAGTTTAGGATGGGACTTCTCGAGTTTTTTGTCACAACTATATGCGTTTTAGAGTGTGGCCACAACAATCCTTGCTATGGTAATGGATCAAGAAGGTATACCCTATAGCAAGAAAGTCTCGGAATTTTGGCCAGAATTCGCGAAAAATGGCAAGCAGGACATTACCATCATGAACGTCGTTCTTCATCAGGTGACTATTTCACTTCTTATATATACACACCGTTTCCAGAGTTGGGGGGTACCTTGTACTACGTGTAGTACAAAATAGGATAACTCTTGTATCAAATGGAGGTATCCCGCCGCGAACAACGCCTCGTACGCCATGTTTAAGGGCAAATCCAGCGATCAAGTGCTATGATTAGTGGGCGATTCATGAAAAAGTAGCCCATAAGCAACTCCCCTGTGGGAAAAGAAGCAAAAAAAACCTAGGGAACACTCCGAACAGTGACCTCGCTTAGCAGTGGGGCCGGCGCCTTGGACGAGTTTGTCGACGTGCAGCCACATAGGAAATCGCCCTACGACGCTCCAGGCAACGCTATGCACACACGACTCCGCTTGTAAGCCGTTGTCTTGCAGAGTGAAAGTAATCGTGGTTGCAATGGTTGCAATAATCACGCGTCTCTAGCTTCTTTATCTCGCCGTTTCGAGTGACAAAAGTGGTATATTTTCTGCGAATGCGGACAATGATGCCAAATGCACGGAGGAATTTCGCGGACCACTCGGTCGCGGGAACTGTCTCTAAGAAAAGAATGCGGCCACTCCATTGCGGGGACATGCAGTGTACCTTACCTGAAAGAGAGGCACTGCTTGTCAGAATTATACAATATCGCCGCAGCTGTTTAAGCAACTGCCTGACAGTCATTTATAGATTATTCTATTTTCTCCATGGTCTGTGTTCAGGCTGGTCTTACCGTACTCGCAACAAATGACTACACCGGATGATGTCAGTGATTGGAGACGTATGAGTGCATACTTCGAGAATGCAACGCCCATCTGGGTCCCTGGTTCTCAATCAGGCTACCATGCCTTAACATTTGGGTGAGTGTGCTTCAGTCTAAATATCGACAAGGGAGGAGGAGGTTAAACTGCCGGTTTCTGAAAGACAAGTGGGTAGGAGTGATCGTTAATGGGTTTCTTCGTTTGTGTAGAGGAGTAAAGATGATATGCTCGCGCATTCTGGTGGGGCGATGCATGAGGCGTGGAATGAGCTCACCTGCGCCTGCGTTGCCTACCAATAGTAGCCGTTTAAGGTAGGTAATAAGCAATGATAGAAAACGGCGGGGTGGGCTCAGTCAATGCCTGTTCACAAGGCCGCGCAAAGCTGTGACGATATCAACTGCAGCATATAAGGCTTGGGCAACGTCTCAGAGAACTGAGTACTGGAGATTCACGAGAGAACCCCAATCTGGGTGATTTTTTCAACTTTTCGTTGAAATAATAGTGGTGGATACTAGAGAAGTAAACAACGTACTGGATGTCAAGCCTTCACGTCACTTGCGTTTCTATGCAGGAGGCATGTAGAGCTATGGCTTCTAGCGCGCTGGTAGGAGTTGCCAAACACTTTTAGCCTCCCTTTCACCAGCTACGATCGATCCGCCTCTTAATCATCGGGTAATTCAACATTCCGAGGACATTCAGTGGCAGTTTGACTTGGTAGGGCAGGTGGTACTCAATAGAGCCTGTACCGATCATTCTGTAAAGGCCTGTAGACTCCTGCAACCGAAATGGCTCACATGTACCATTTCGCTGCAAGTTAACAGGCAACGCCTTGTCGGGCCCTGACAGTTAACTGACATGAACCAGTAGAAGGAACTAGCGAAAATGTAATGTGCCCCCTAAGCCGAATAACGCCTACATTGGAGTTTGTACTCGGTAACAACGAGTAATTCTAGCGAGTAGCCCATATTGGTCAGTTGCCTTGGCTGATGCTGGTAAATGTGATAGTACGTAGCCCTTCTAGAGGGTATACGATCCCAAAGGCACTAGGAGTACTGTCGGCGCCTCTTTCCGTAACCGCACCCACTCAAAAGATTTTCAGTAGATTTCATACTAATATATAGAATTTTTCTAATTTTGGGAAATTATCAGTGCATTAAGACTGTTTCCAGATTTCTTGTGGATCAGATTGTTCGACGAATCGATCGATATCACCGCGGTTTAACGGACTTTCTGAACGAGATCTCTCGCGATTACGGTAATCCAGTTTCTCTTTTGATGTTAAGTATTGTCAATGCAAAGTCATGATGATGTTGGGCATCGGTTGAGAAATCCAACACGCGACGAAAACCACATTGCAAGTGGCGTCACGTGAGCCGCATTCGCACCACGACCCAATTGATTCATCGAAGAGTTCCGCCTTGCAGGGAAATACCGGCTATTTGTCACTACGTGGATCTCCCAGCCGACACCCGTGTATACTGTTTTACCCCTCCGCGATTTACACCCTTTTGCAGGATAATTTTCTTCGTTCCAGGAATCGTTGACCTGTCAATCGGTCTACATCATCCAGACGATAACGAACGGGTAGCTTTGCTACAGTACCCTGGTGACCTGCAAATTGAGTCCGAAGCACGGCGGGACCCTGAGACGTGGCGGCGATGGTGCGCTGGTGATAATGACCATCATAAACGGCTCTATGAGACGTGGCCATGGATCACTACCGATGACGTAAGTGTCTGAATATTTTTCTATTATTTCCTCATTAATAGAGAAGAATTGTAGCCTTTGGCATTATCGGGGCAGAATTGTGGTCCTTCATAGTCATTGTCCCTGTGAACAAGAGGGTGTATGGAAGGGTGTGGATAGAAGCGTGGTTAGGGCTGCATTTTCCACCAACTGTTGCGGGGCTCAGAATGACAGCGATTGGTGGGAAAAGGCTGCAACTCCAGTCCACGCCCCCTTAAACGCCCTCTCGCTTGCAGGGATAATCACCAAAGGCCCTTTACTTGAGTTAACATTAGTTGCCTCCTCTGATAGACCGTTCTATTTACTTTTCAGTACAATCTGTTCGAGAATCGCCTTCTGCCAATGCCATCTAATATGGGAATTGGTAACGCTCGATCTCTGGCACATTTCCACTCGTTGATTGCTGAGCGGAAGATTCTCAGCGATGCTTTCTATAAGAATTTGGAGCGACCAGTTCTGGAAAACGAATTTGACCACGTGATCGGCTATGAGGAAAGCAAGGGCTACGGATTTCAATTCACGAAAAATCCCAAGGTGAACATCTCTAACACTCTTGGTTCTGCAGCAATTCCTTGGAAACTGCAATGTTTTGCAGCAGCGACATAAAGTTCATCCAGTCATGTTCGCTGCGGATGCTGAGACGTGTCGGGAGGTTGGGTTTGGCGCGGCGCCAGCCCGATCTACAGCAATTGTTGTCGCTGGCAGAGAATGGCTTGGCGCGCAGCCAAATCCGGGTCTTCGACACGCAAGTGCATCTGCAGCAAGCAAGATGTGAAGAGGGTTTCAGTTTGTAACTTTGGGCAGGTGCATTTTTTTTGATGATCCGTCCTGATACAAAAGAACCAGAAGCGTGGGCGGGCAAAACGACCATATTGTTAAAAATTTGATCTTTTAGGGTGAATGGATCTTTGGACATTCGGGATTTGGCGGACAAAACGTGCGAGTCGACATGCATAATGGTCTCTCCTATGCCTACCTGTGCAATGGCCTGAAGATCTCAGACGCCGATCTCGTAGAGCCGTGGAAACGACTCGTTGATAAATTGTATTCACTTCTATGATCTATGGGTAGCTACATTTTATCGTGTAGTTTTAGGGATAATAAAGATTTTCATAGAAGTTCTTTAGCAATAAAAACATAAAAATGGCCGCGGAGCTTAAAAGGGCTCCCTGGCTGCGCTGTTGATCCACGTCGCGTCTGCTTCTTAAAGGCAGTTGGCACGATAATTCAGCACTCGGCCTAAAATGCTAGCAGGGCGCTATATAGTGGGGAAAATGGCGAAAGAACGGAGTGAAACGGTCAAAATCCTGCGAAGAAAAGCCTTCGTTCTTAATGACTCGAAAAGCAATTTCGGACGAGTTTCCCGTAGGCATCTTGCCAATAACCGCTACCGAAGATACGGCTGCATGTGTGTACTCATATATCCATGCAGCACCGCGCCGCTTCATACCAATCCCTTCGCTTCATAATTTGCTTAGCAAATGAATCAATACGAGCGTCAGGAACGGTCGTCCATTTGTGGGCGGGCGGGCGTGGTGGGCGTTTGGGTCGGTATGTTGTAGCTTGATAGGGCCCTTATAAGGGTACCTTCCTTGGAAAGGGCGCTGCGCAGCGCCTTCTTAGGGGCGCGGAATTCCGTCCTGCCAGGCATATTAATCCTACTTATCTTTAGGGATTTATCGTGCCAACTGCCTTTAATACTCTCTGTCGCGGCTGCCATCACCTTGATGACCTTTTGCACAATTGGCTAGGATTATTCATCTTTATTAACTATCTTATTACTTCAAGTGAAAGCTCAACTTTCCTCCTTCGTGGAGGATATCTTCGGTATAATTCTGCTCTCAAGCGGAACCATCTTCTTACGGAATATCAGCCATGATGCAATTATCAGGCAAATTAGAGCCACATCTAAGAGCCATGGGGCTTGTGGACCGAACGCCGTGTAGAGGAAGCTGAAATCACATACATTGAAGCAGTGACGATAAATCAGGAGGTTAATGAAGCAAGACGGTTTCTAGGAAATTTTGAAGTCTCCAAGTATTTTTAGGCGAAATAGAACATCCTCACATTACTAAAATTCTTGTGAGAACAAAGTTTTACTAACCTGGTA